GCAACAGCAGCTGTTGTTGGAGAGAGCCAACCAACGAAAGAGTGCAATAAAGGTGAGGTATTCGCAAATTTGTAACACGCCCGCTCTCAACTTTTTTTTATACTAATACGGTAAATTCGCATGTCGAAAGAGCGTGCACTGCGAGTGCCTCACCCTCTTTTAGCGCACTTCGAATTTAGCGAATATACGAGAGAATGCAGCCGCAGAGAACATTGAGAAGATTTTGCATTGAAAAAGATAGAGTGGAATTACGTTGGTGAGGCATTTGTGAGGTTAGGTTAGTAATGAGAACATTAAATGAGAATAATTGCAGGGCACTGCGATATTTTGCATTTAAATGTTGTTGAATTTCTACATCAGCATCTACTTTTAACCAAATATGCACTTTATCTTTGAATGTTCTTTCGAATCATTGAAAAGTTGTTGCACTCTCTTGGGGCTCTGCTTCTGCCTTTGTTGCTGTTAAAAAAACGAAATTTACTTCCCGTTAATATACACAGTACATATAGATCTATAGACACCAGAAACACCCCACTGGTGGAGGCGTGTCATGGATGTAACATGCGAAATGTACAAGATTCCGCTTTGTCTGCTGCCTGACAGCTTTTAATTAATGTTTTTTAATAAAACCAAAAATGGATGTAATGTCAGTCGAGTGGAAAAAAAAACCGCCTGCATGAGAGACAGGAAGAAAGTTGGGGCTGTTGTTAAGATCCAAGGTTGATTCACACGATGAATAAGAAGAGCGGCATCATGTATAGAGAATAATGTTTGTTTGGGTCAAAATATGAAACCATTTGGAAATTACAGAAATTTTAAACTGCAACAAAGCAAATACCTATGCACCACACCCCTCCGTCCCCCAATATGCAGCAAGTGCAATTGAAAACCAGCAAAAAAAAACGTAGAAACAAAAACCAAGTGAAAGTGCAGACAAAAGCAAACAAAGCAATTAAAAGCCACAGAAGCAACAAGTGCCATAATAAAACAACAAAAGTTAATCAACAGAGATAAAAAAGAAACAAAAGCTTCAAACCCAAAGAGAAACTGCAGCAAAAACTGCAGAAGAGTGGAGATAACAAAAAACGCAAGCAGACAAAAAGATATGTAAGCCTTCCAATTCCTTTAAAACTGAAAGTGCTGTAATTACTAAGCACGTGAGAAGCTGTAGCTGTAAAACTGTAACCACTTGCTGGGGTAATTTACAAGGCTGCCGACAGCTTCGCCTTGGGGTCTTGAAATGGAAACCAAACTGGAGAGTGGTAGTGGTATTACTGTTTTTATGCTCTCCCACTCTCTCTCTCCTTTCTTACTCTCCCGCGCTGTCTCCACAAAGCATGGCTGTAAAAATTACGCATTCTGTTGTCCCTCTACTCAACCACTTACTCTCCCCACTGTAAATGCAAAACTTGGCGTCAGTCGCTCTCTCGCAAAACATAGTGGTAAAAGCAAGCTTCAATGCTTTCAAGCACTCGTTGAACGAGTCAACGGCTACTCAACGGAATTCTAATTAGTGTTTTGTATGTGACAAACAGCTTTTGCCTCGTTTAGCCAGTACTCCAAGTGGAAGACTGGCAGCAGCAGACGCGATGTCGGCTGGTCGGGTGGATCAACTGGCTTCCCTATTAAGGAAAGACGGAGCGGCGACGGGACTCTTCCAGTTGGAGATGACAGCTAGTTAGATCTCCGGGAAATCTGGTTTGTGTCTGTGGGGAAATTGGACAATTTTCCCAGTGCATTTAACTAAACGTTTATGATATGATGAGATTTCAAGTGCAATTAATTTGACTTTAAATGGAGTTTCCGGCCAAGAAAGCCAATAAGGATACAAGATAGATAAAACAGGTTGCTGACGTTTATTGAGGTTTGGGGAAAGAGTATTGTGGAGCATATAATCGTGAAATAATTGAAGTTGAAAGAAAGGAAATTGTAGAAACAGAATTATTATCATCCACATAAAAGTATTGTTCTGTCTCTCATGACCTTGTGGCAACTATTCCAAGCCAATTTGCAGATTCGCAAAAACCTCTCTCAAGACATAATTCCATTGTATAACATTAAATTTAATTGAAAAATTACTTGACCAAAAAAAACTGATACAAAAAATCCCCCACGAGTCGCAAATTACGTAATGCCCAGAGCCATAACTATTGTCTTCAAGATAAATGCCACTTCAACAAAACATCCCACAAACACCCGTCTACAGCCACTCAAAATTATCTACGAACCGATCAAGAAGTAACCAAGTGGCCTGGTGATTCTCTCTCTTCTCTATTTTGTTCTGTTACATTTTTTTTGTTAGCTCTGTTTTGGGCCCGACTCGAATCAATAATTTAATTGACCCACTTTGCGCTAACTTTCCGAGAGTAAAACTAATTGCTTAGAAGACCATGGCTCTGGCTCTGGGGTTTGTTTCGTGTCGATTGGGCAAAGTTTAGCCATAGAAATGGCAACATTTCGAAGCACAACAAAGTGGAATTTGGGTTAAGCGTAGTCCGCGCCCGAAATGGGGTTGATGGCTCCCGCCCGTCTGAAGCGTTGGCAACTTTGTTGACGGACGGTAAATATTTGGTAGTAATAGAACAAAGTGCAGCCCAAACTGTAATGCAAGTTTAGTTTCAAGAACAGTAAAGAAACTTTTGCAAAAAGAGCCGTTAAAACTGCGCTTTTGAAACAGTTGAAGGTTAGTTGTTTGTGGTTTAAACAATTTTTTAATTGTTGGCTTAAATATACTACCCAAATGTGGTTGCTTTAAAAAATCCCATTAGGAATATGTCAAATACAATGCCATGTTACTGTCACCCATAGAACAACTGCAAAACAAAATATATAAATGGAAAACTTCCAGACATTTATCTTGGCTTACCTTTGGCCTTTTACAGTACCAGCCACATGACCTTGCTCTTGGCAGCCAACGAAGCCAACTCTCAACCTCCTTTCTATAAATAGATGACATCTCCCTCTGACATACGGACAAAATGAAAAAAATCAATAAATGATGCTGCATGCAATGCGAACTTCCAGAATTGCCATAGAAATTTTGACATTTATGTGTATCAGGGTCAGCATTTCTAGTTGGCAACAGGTTGAGGTTGAGTCATCTTGCTAGACTTTGAAACGGGTTTCCTCATCATCAGCAGACACACAAAAAGTCTCCACGAGATCATCATCAAGTTTCCAAGTAGAGTGTAAACAAGCAAAAAATGAATGTACGTATATTATATTGTGGGTATCTTCTTTTTGCGATGAGTCAGGGCCACAAGTCAAGAGAAATTGTTGCATTGTTGTTTTGCCAAATTTATGAAAAGTCCTTGAACCCTAAAGAAAGAGTAAATCGAGAGAGGGAGAGAAAACCCACATAACACATGGAAATTAGATAATTGCTGAAGGCCTGAGCCAAAGTCAATGCTTGATGTGGCGCTTAGGTTCATTCACATTCGCGCTCTTTGGGGCTAAACATTTTGGCCATGTGTGGGCTAGAATCTACTCTGGCGTTGTCTTTGCTCTACAGACCGAATCTGTCCATGACTGTACTTGACTCTAGGAGTGGTTCAGGTCAGTTGTTTCGTGTCTGATTCGCAGACAAGGCCAAAAGTCACACCATTTAATCAACCCGAAGCGTTTTTCAATGCCAATCTTATCTATTAGAGTTACTTTTCTACACACATGCGCTTACTCATGAGAAAAAGCAACAAATAAATGACGCAAATTCTGTTTACAGATGGGAACTCATCGAATAAATAATGTGGAATTACCTAAAATGCATTTATTTTACCGTTTATTTCGAGCAACTCAACTCTCAAGAACAATTCCAATTGCATACAACACGGAAATGATATAAAATTCGAATGCAAATAGAGATTTATATTGACTTTCTATCGCTTTGCGCTGTGCGCCTTTGTTGATAGAACAACAGGAAAAAGTAAACGTAAATGAAGCGTGGCGAAGACCTGTTTATCGTTGTTTATATTGGCCAATTCACAGAAAAGATGCGCATTTAATTCTTTAATGCGACATAGGGGAAGAATTTAAGTTTATGGGAACTAATGCAGGAGTCACTACTCAATGTTGCAGTGCTTCAGTCAGCTGATATCAGCGTCAATGAGGCAGAAGTACAAGTCGTTGGCATCCAAGCTGGCACCGCAGAAAGCAGAGGAGCAGATTTGGCGGTGAGTCTCAAACTTGAGTGCTTGAGTTGTCGGTGGTTCCATTAACGTATTCGTTACTCTCAAACTTACGGCGATGGTGCTGTTCTCAAACTGCTGAAGTTCCCATACCGCTGTGCTTCTCAAACCTATAAATACGCAATTTTGTGAAATTAACTACACTTTTAAATGCGAACACCGCGCTGCTTGTAGGTTAGTCGGCGGAAAACGAATAAGTGTCTCTGACACCTTCGCTTGCTACCAGATAAGCTTAAAGTGCTCGATTAATTGGTAGCACTAAAAAAAATGTGAACATATCCAACGACTATGCAAATGACAACTCGTTTGAGCCACCTTAAACTAGCTTACAGTTTGATAAATATTACTTCAAAACTACGTTGAGCGTAGGTTTGGCGAAATTCAAAATTAACGGCCCACACACATACAAGCAGAGCCCTGTGGTACAGAAGAAGTAAAGTAAAACTGGTTTGTTGCCAACAAGAACAAACCAAAGCGCAGCCACGCGATAGGGATAGAGCAGGCGTAGAGGGAAATGAGAGAGGCTGATGCAGCTGACGCTGGGCGTGTTTGCGTTGGCGTTAGCTTTGACGTCGCTGCTGACGCTAGTTTCTACGTCTGGCTGCCCATGACCATGCAGGCGTCCGTCAAAAAGCAGAGATAGAAACTGACAAAGAGGGAGAGAAGAAGAGGGCGAAGTAGGGGCGACAGATTACATAAAACAGCCGTGCAAAAGATAGAACGAAAACACACGCACACACTTATGTATATATGGATTCACAGACACCTTGCGCACGCTTCTCTACAGTTTGAGACTGACTGGGCAACTCTACTTACGTTCCCGCGTCCTTGGGCACAATCTGCTCCGCATCGGCGGTCTGCTGTTCCGTTAGCTCAACGTCCATTTCAGAGGTCGATTCGGTTTCCTCGCGTTCGCTGTCGCTAATCTCGATGACTTCTTCGTCCATGCGGCTCTCTGGCTCCAGCACAGCTACACCAATGTCTTCCAAACTGGCGCGTGTTGTTCTACGTGTTTGTTGGTTTTGTTAATTTAACACTTTATCTGCAGCTGTGTAGCTCTGCTCTCTTTTCTCTTTGCGTCAGTCCTCACACTTTCCTACGTGCCCGTTTGCCTGTGTATGTATTTCAACACGCGCCCGCGATATATTGCCACTGGTTTTTTCCACTACTTTTCGGTGTTTGCCCTGCTGCAGCCGTTGCCTTTTCTGTATCCGCGGAATTCCACAAAATTCAGTGTGACTGCATTATTAATTTTTATTTTTAAAATTTTGAAGAGAATAGCGTGATTGACCAGTGTGACCGCGGGGCTTATCGATAAAATATACCAGCTGACCGTCAATAATATACCAAAATATAGCTTCTCATTTTTTAAATATTCCGGAAATAAACCGGAGCGCTCATTTTTCCGTTTCGTTCATGAGTGAACGAATTTAGCCCACTTTACCCCTCTGTATATAAACCTAAGTATTTTTTTTATTCTTGTTGTTTATCCTATCTTCCCCATCTATAGGATCCATTTCATTTATCCATATGTTTCACCTGAACTGACCTACCGTTTTCGTGGAAATTACCCATTTTTTGTGAACGACAATGGGTTCATCTTTCTGTGTAAGTTATTTTCCTCGATTTTGATATTCGGCTTAAAATTACTAGCTAGCCGGGACTTTCAGTACTAAACTTATAATTTTATCCGATAGATTTATCAACTGTCTACGAGATTGGTTTATTTTAAGACGTCCATTTTACTTGAATGTTAAGTAATACTAGTCTACAGATAAAAAGTCAACCAAACTGTTCCTTGCTGTACACTGAAACTACACGGTTGATACATATCATATTACATGCATGTCATGCTGTACGTGAACCGGTAGTATGGACGTTTGCTTACTCTACGTCTAATGTTCCCTTTGCCTTTAATTACCTAGACACAAATTAAAATACAAAAGTTTCCTTGGAGCTACGAATCTTTCGTAATAAGCAATTTACACTAACAATTTAAGATATAGTTCCATAAATTTTGAAAACAGCTCGTTAGATGTCGTCTATAAAAAAATGGTTATACAAAAGATAGTGCCCTTCCGGAAAGGCAAAATGATGATTGATGGATCGCTGTGCACCCGAATAGGCATAACCTACATATGTACATAAGTACATAGAATCTGATCTTGTTGCAGCTACTTTGACACACTTTCGAATAAATGTGCAGGAATGAATGAGAACCATCAACTTTAGCATCGCCCGGAATCGGCAGCCGGGTGCTCAGTAAGAGTAGAGACACTGCTGGCAGAGGTTGAATTCATTTTGATAGCGTATAAATGAAGAATGTAAATAAAATAAAACAACATTCAGCAGTACAGACAATCGTTATCCACAGTTGAGCAGAAGTAATTTCCATTTAGGCTGACTCAATTTAGGGTAGATCAGGAAAAAGGGATGCCATTTGTATTGTTTGTGAATAAGTAGTAAAAAGCAAATGAAATAAATTGAATTGCATTAAACGAAACAATAAAATGTGCTGATTGTTAATGTATCTGCTGGAGTATACCGTATACAAGTGAATAAATGATTAAAATATGTGCACAGATTAGCTTTAGTTCAGTGAAAAATTCCCAAGAAAGCCCGCGTTAAAGCCCGCTCGGTCTTTGATTAATATTTGTATCTGTGGCTCTTAGAAAGTGTATGGGTGTTATTAAAGATTACATTTAGTAATGCCATTCAGTTTCCGATGCATAAACATACCTACGTACAGATGTACATATATGAGGAGTGGAACTGAACTGTTTGTCATTTTTGTGGGAACCCCCAGACTTAACGGCAGAAATAAGCATTCCAGTACTTATTAATACGAATCACAAACTTGCATATATTATTGTAAATTAATTTTCTTTGCATTATTTACCGGTTTTCAATTAGCTCATGAAGCTCATCTAGATTTTATCTATTCATTTCTATTGTTTATTTACTTAGCGAATCATTTGTTTATTTCCATGAAATGGCAACTTTTTGATTACCGCAAAATGTTGGTAAATAAAGCATTATATGTACATATGTATTCAATGCATAATCCAGTTATGTTTATCTCTTGAGTGGCTGCGAATAACTATAAATAGCCACTCGCAAATAGGCTGGAATCGGAACATTGCGGGTATGGTCTGTAGTCAGTGTGCTCCCAGACGGTCACCCAAATACCCCACAAATCTGCTAAATAAAAGATAATAGGGATTGACAATACCCATAAAGATAACAGAAACAATTATACAGTGCTTATGGCAGTGCTAAAAATAATGAAAATCTCCACTTTCATTCCACAAAAGCTGAAAGATGCGCACACACTGGATTTTCTGGACGCTAGTCACTCTTCTGGTCCATCGAGCTAAGTGCAATCCCATAGAACGAAAGGCAAAGGTGGCCACGGAGTTTATTATTCTGCACAACAATGATATGCACTCCCGGTTCGAGCAGACGAACGTAAACAGCGGGCCCTGCACCCAGGAGGATGCCAATACGGACAAGTGTTATGGGGGTTTCGCACGAGTGGCCCATGAGTGAGTAGAGAGAGAGAGTCCATCTCTAGATATCTATTTAATCCATTGCCATTAGAGTTCGCAAGTTCCGCAAGGAGGCAGCGAATGGAGGAACTCCCGTGTTCTACCTGAATGCTGGGGACACTTATACGGGAACCGCGTGGTTCACCATCTTCAAGGACAAGATTGCCAGCGAATTTCTCAACAAACTTCAGCCAGATGCTATTGTGAGTGGAGTGTGCATAAGATCAGCAGCATTTTGAGGCTAAAGCTGTTAATTTTCTAGTCCCTGGGCAACCACGAGTTCGATGAGAAAGTCGAGGGCTTGATACCTTTCCTTAATGAAGTCAACTTCCCGGTGGTGGCCTGCAATCTGGATCTGAGTAAGGTGCCCGACCTGCCTGCCGCCAGGCAACTGGTTCCCTCCACCATACTGGAGACACAGGGCACCAGGATAGGTGTAATTGGCTATCTGACGCCAGAAACTAAGCAGCTAACCGCCCATATTGATGTGGAGTTCAACGAGGAAGTGGTTTCCATCAAGTTAGTTGATTTCTATGTGTCATATGTGATACTTAATCCTGTCCCTCTCTCTTGACAGCGCTGAGGCCAAGAAGCTCAAGGCTCAGGGCATCAATATAATCATTGCCTTGGGTCATTCTGGCTATCTAAAGGATCAGGAAATAGCCAAGAACTGCCCGGATGTGGATCTCGTAATTGGTGGCCACACAAACACTTTTCTCTACAATGGCACACAGCCCGATATAGAGCCCATCGAGGGTCCCTATCCCACAATGATTCAGCAGAAGAGCGGCAAGGAGGTGCCTGTGGTGCAGGCCTATGCCTATACCAAGTATCTGGGCAAGATCCATATGCAGGTGGGTGCCCTAAAGCTTTGGATAACCAATAGCTGAACCGCCATTCATTTCCAGTTCGATGCGGAGGGAAATCTGATTGAGTTCGATGGGGCGCCCATACTGCTGAATGCTTCGGTGGCACAGGAACAAGATCTCCTCGATCTGCTGGAGGTGTACCGACCCAGCGTGATCCATCTTGAAAAATCGGTGGCGGGACACACAAAGGTCCATCTGGAGGGCAGCAAGCAGGTGTGCCGCGACAGGGAGTGCAATCTGGGCAACATGCTCACCGATGCGATGGTCTTTAGTCGAGTTCGCGAAGAGCAGGGCGGCGCCTATTGGACGGATGCAGCAATCGCTCTTCTCAATGGAGGCGGTAAGTCTTACACGAGTCTTTCCCATTCGCCATGTGATCCGTTTGTTCCTTTGACTGGCAGGCATACGCAGCTCGATTGAGAAGAAGTCCGATGGCTCAATTACCGACAGCGATGTACTGTCAGTTCTGCCCTGGAGAAAGAGCCTCTACATGACCCGAATATCTGGCAAGACGCTACGCAATGCCCTCGAACATGGGGTGGCTGCTCGTGGCACGGACACGAATGTGCCCTTCCTGCAGGTGTCCGGCATCCATGTGGTCTACAACCCCAACAAACCCGTGGGCCAGCGAGTCGTCTCGGTGCAGGTTCGATGTGCCGCCTGTCGCATTCCCACCTACAGCGACCTCGATGATGCGGAATTCTACAATGTGATCGTTACGGATTTTATGTTCGAGGGAGGCGATGGTTATGTCTTCAAGGAGGCCAAAAATCCACAGCATCAGCGGCTGCAGTGGAAGGACCATGAGGCAGTGAGACAGTATCTGCAGGAACGGCACTACATCTATCCGGAGGTGGAGGGTCGCATTGTCTTCACAGGAAGTGCCAGGGGACTCATTGCATCCGTCTCTCTGCTCTTGTTTTCCACCTTACTGATGCGTGTTTTTAGTTAAGAATTGATTTTACACAACTAAAGTTTTAGGTGTCTGTTTTTAATCATTTGTCAGCCACAATAACATTGTCATTATTACCCGATCGCTCAACAGATGGCTCTCAAACCTGTGCTGCGTGAGTTATCAGTGGTTCTTAAACTGAATAAAATTCTGTACATTGCTAACTGACTAATGGCGGAAGTGTGGATCTCAAACTGCCATAACGATGTGCTCCCAAATCCAATCTGAAGTCAAATACAACGTTTAAAGGCTCATCAAATCTCGTAATTCGACCATAATGACTCTAAAACTACATGCTATTCTAAAACCATTTGATTATCTACAGCCCAACTACATTGCAATGTAGAATCGAGCGTGAAGTTTCATATCAACGAGTTGCTGATAGTTATGAATCTGGTTTGCATCGTTGCTCACTGACAAAAGCCGAGTTGCATATTTCAAATTTGAATTTAACACGTACAATAACTGACAACTTATTGGCAAACCCGTAACATTCGGAAGATGAAACATTTGAAAGCCAATAAGATTAATATTAATGCGTAACGGTAATGACGCTTGGAAGAGTGTTTTTTGAATTGAAATTCAAAATAAAATTGAAGTTACTCCTACAGTTCAATGTACAGAAGGAAGATGACGTACACTGAAAGCTCTCCTGCGACTTAAGTGTTTTTATTTAGATTGATCAATGTAAAAAATAGCCAACCTATTTTTCCCTACTATTATCCGTAACTAAAAGTAAACCATAGAAATCAAGAACTGAGTTTTCACATATTTGTTTGAACTTTTCAATAATAACTCCAATCGATATTTAGGAAATGTCTTGGAATTTCATATTTGCAATCAATTTATTATCAAATTTGCGCTGTCATCAATATTGAACCATCAAAAAGAACGAGAGCAAGAAACGAAATG